CCCCGGACATCCTAGGACCGTGGGGACAACCCCAGAGCCTCCCCTCCCACACCCCATGTTCAAGGACCTGCATCTATAATATGGAGCGGATCAGGACAGCATAGGTTGAGCCTGGGTTGGAAGGTTGGCAAAGGCCGGGTGCTAAGTTTGGGGATAAAAGTCTGTGAAACTGCTTGGTTTTGGGGAGAGAGGGTTTGGCCCAGCAAATTAAAGATGTACAGAGCGATTCTCTGAAATCTGTCAGTGTCAAGGGAGGTGTTTTGGGGTGAGGGTGGACAGAAGAAGAGAGATCACAAGGGCAGCCTGAGTCAGGAGGAGGAAAACGCTTGGAGAAGAGCGGGATTGCCTGGAATGAAGTCGAATCAGAGGTTTGAGGAGCAGAGACTGGAAGTGATCCAGCAGAAAGAATAGTTTGGAGACATGGAGACAAAGCAGTGATGGGCTGGGAGAAATGAGGGAGAATGACTGTCTTGGGAGAGAAACGTATTGAAAGGGGAGGCAGATGGTGGAGATGAGTTCACTTCGGCACACTCCCCTCCAAAGGACACTGCCTTTGTAGAAGGCTTTATAGTAGTCCCTTGGTGTCACTAAGAGTCTTTCCTGCTGCTAAACCTCATGAGACGTGAAGATGATATCCCAGTTTTCCAAATGTTCAACCAAAGTGTAGAAATCCATGCAAGATTGTGCCCCTATTGCTGAACCTCGCATGCCCTTAAGACCTGATGTTCTAGTGGATATTACATGGCATTTCAGATGCAGAAAGCTCATTGATTACATTCACAGCTTTGATTGTTCAGCATTTGGAAGACAATGTTATAAGGTATTAAATTTAACATGAAACATATGACAAACACATGGAGCAGGCACCTCCTAAAAGCACAACTTGGGGCTTGCCGTTATGTAGGAATCGCCATCAGATACAGAGGTGGGAAATCTAGTTTGTTGATAACATGTTCGGGTTCTGAATAGGCCCTGCTCTTTGTGTAGCACCTTAAATTTCTAACATGTGTAATAAGTAACACAGCACCGACATGTTTCTTCCCCTTGTTTCGGATCTGTCCTATCTTTATAGCCATATTTTGGTGTTTCTTAGTTCTTGAGTGCTTAACCTTCCAACTGCAATGACACTAAGGTGTTTTTATACAAAACTAATCATCATCTCTGAAAGACACTACCTTCATTAATGGTATTATTTTGCATATTTTGTTGTTGGTGTTTTTTACTTTAAGCTATCATAATTTAATTTTACCTTAAAAGCATTGAGAAAAAGCAAATCTTGTTGCAGCCATGAGCATACAGAGGTAATGCCACCACCCTGTACAGCAGGGCAGTTGTGGAAAGACCACACAAAATATCTCTCCAGGTGAGAATATCGTTTTAGGAGCTCCCCTGCAGAGTAGAAAGAGAAGTTGTAAGTAGGCTAAGCAGAGAGAAAGAGAGAAAAGGAATCCAAACTAGGCTTGCTATGGCCTATGGAAGGTTTTGAGGTTAATGAAAAGGAAATAGCATGTAATTTTGGTATCAGGAAGGGTAATAGCAGTGTCATTACTGCATGCAGCTAGGGTTTTTGTTATTTTGTTGCAGGTAAGTGTTGATTTATTACAAATACGTTGAGCTACTCTCTGATATTTTAGTATGTCAGCTAATATTTTACTCTCGAAGTGATTTTTCTTTTAAGTTGCATCGGATTCATTGCACAATACTTCCTTAGGGGAAAGTGTAGAATCAGACTTGTAAATAATGAATCACTCCTAACGGCCTGAGTGACAGCAAACTGCACTGTATTCTGAACAGGACCCTGGCATGGCAGGCAGGTGTGTGTGTGACTTCGAAGTTCCTTTCCCACCCCAGTGAACAGAGCTGGACAGCCAGACTCAGTTGGCTCTGTATGTGACAACCATAGGGAACCATTATTTTCATGCTCAGTCCCAGAAAGGCAGCTGCGTTTCAGGAAAGAAGAGAGACCTCAGGATGCTCTACACTAGTGCCTGCCATGCAGAAAGGTGTGAAAATGCGCTCGACTGCTGCGGTGGGAGGACTTCTTATGTGCTGTTTGGAAATGGATGCAGTAACTTTTTCTTGGGCCTGTAGGCTGCACAAACAACCGTTGCTTTCAAGCCAAGTGCTAAAAGAGAAAACACACAGTGTTTGTGACTAAGCAGTCTTATAGCTAGGAGAAGTCCTGGTCAAAAATTCTGATTTAAAGTGATGTAACATTATCTATGTTCACTCACACTGCTTGGGGAAGAGAGGAAAGCTATGTAATTTGCAAGGCATTAGATATCTATCATTTTATTTTTCTACATTTAAAAAAATAATAATAAAAAAAAAGCAGGTGCATGAATTCAAAGAGGATCTTTGGTTACTTGCTGTTCAAGAGGATGGATGTTCAGGCAGAGCTGTGAGCTGGGCTGGGCTGTGCACAGCAGAGGGGAAATGGCCTCATTCTGCTCACTTTGGCAAGTGCCAGTTCCTCAGTGAATGCTGTCAAATGCGGTCCATGTATCTTTTTATCAGCAGCGGTAGAAAAATGGTGCTTCTTCTCTTCTTACGGGTAGCGTCTCAGAACTGCACTCTGACAAATGTTACTTTTGATATTATCCTATGTTCAATATCTGCTAGCAAGTCTAAGTTGTTGTGATAATGCACTCTGTTATAGAGAAGACTAGGAGGCAGACGACTGAATCATAAAGGATAATGTGCTGCACTAAAATTAGCAGTATTTCTTCTGCTTCCTCTGATGTGGCTGTCACTAAAGTTAAAGCAAACTGGGTCGGTGTGCCAGAGCCCGGGAGATGAGGAGGAGCTCCTGAATCCACGCGTGCGTTAGTTCGCTTGTCCTGCCTGTCTTGTTGGCTCTCTAGTCTGTGCATTCAGCAGCAATTCCTGCTCTTCTAAGGCCGC